CATGTGTTTTAGGACGAATATAATAGAGATCAAAGAATAAAGAATACAGTGAAATAGTAAAAAATTTAAAGATATAGAAACATAGAAACGATGATCTGACCCCCCCCCCCCCCCCCCAAACACACACCCAAAATACCATTACCACCCACACTCGCCTATATACAACTCTAAACAAATATCTAATTTGGTTCATGGTGCCCCAGACCCCGCAAGACCCCCCCCCCCCCCCCCCCCCCCACCACCCTCCCACAACCACCACCAATCCCACCCACACTCGCCTATATACATCTCTAAACAAATATCTAAGTTTGGTTCATGGTGCCCCCTCCAGACATCGAGGTTCTGGATCCGCCCCTGGCTAAATATATTTATTTCTATAAGTTAACCTTTCTTCGGAGAGTACTTTTTTCTTTAAGAATACGATATGTCATTTCCATCAACAGCATCTTCGCCGCTGTCGGTGATTTCTGAGAATTCTTCTAGCCAGAGTCGTTTTTGTACTCGACGAGATCTTTTTTTTTTGTGTATACGTTTTAATGCCTTGACCTGAAACACAAACATGGTGGTTCTAGAATGCTATTGAAATAAGAATTTGGCTCTAGAATACCAAAACAAATAGAATACATATATATTACGTACAAAATTTATAAGGATATGATGCTTAAGTCTACGTCATATGTTATCTGTTGAATTTTTTTCCTTATTCATATATAGGAATTATTTAATTCTTATTTTACATTATATATAAAAATTCGAAGACTGGACATCTGACGTGAAGGTGTATTGAAAACAGCAATAGTTTGTCCATATAAAAGGTGTGATACATTTTCTACATCTTTTTTAGTTTTTTTTTTTTTGTAGAGCAATCGTTTATTTGGCCAATATAATTATTATTATTTTTTTTATATTATTATCTTTTGTTAAGACGGTTTATTTTCATTCTCTTTCATACACTGTATTGTCCTATAGTTTGGGAAAAGAGTTTTCAATTTTGATTTATTGCGAGACTAGATTATTAATTCATTTAAAAATATTCCCTTTCGAGAATAGCAAATAATTGGATGTCAAAAAAAGGCGGAACCCTTTTGATCTGTTTTGGAAATTTAAAGTCATGTGTTGAAGATTAAAAATCGTGGGCCCAAGACATTTAAGATATTTTAAACTCAAGAAATAATAAGTAAAAGTCAAACGCTGAAGTTTTGAAATCTAATACAGGAGGTATAAAATATTTAAAGTTATTTCTAGCGCTGATTTGTTAACGTTAACGGCTATTTTTAGCATTCTCTTTCATTTCTGTTGGGCAGACTATTTATTTTTATACTGTCTTGGACAAAGTAATTTTTTCCAGTCATTACCAGACAAGAATAGTCATAGTTTATATGCAATTAAGTTCCTATCATCCATCTTTGACAATAAGACACGACATTGCTGAAATAAAACTATTATCATTGAACGTTCTTCACCAGATTGGTGCGATTTTTATCAAAACGTAATTCTTTCAAATCTTCCACGGCTATTTCACACATAAGTCACAATCTTTAAAGTTGGTTCAAAGGAATTTTATTTCTAAAGCTTATCCGCCTTTTGATAAGATTTTGTTTCCTGTTTATATTGTTCGTCGATTTTTCTGCATCATTTGATAATCAGTCATGGAAAGAATAAAAAGAGCAAGCAATTAATCCTTAGTTTGAAAGTAAAAGTCAGACAAGGATTTTATTGATATGTTATCCAAACATGATCTGGACTGTCCTCAATCAACACACAAACAAAAGATCAAACATTAATTATTACAATCAATTCATATACAATAAAATGTAGAATGCAAAGCATTAAAAATAGAATTTTGTATGTATTTTTTCCAATTTTCTATTTGACCGAGGAGGGACAGTTTTACGAATGGAAAATATAATTAGTTCTGGATACAAATTAAATCAACAATTACATTAAGGTTAACATTATTTCTTTAAAATCGCCGATATTCAAGTTTGTATTTGAAAACAAATAATGTTGAAATCTATACAGTGTTTACAGTATATACATATATTTCAGTTAATTCCTAGAATATGTGTTTTGTAAGCATACAATAACTAATACCTCATCGAGGTCAGCTTGTGATACAATTGACGATTTTTTTAATGAGGTCACTTTTTTTATCAAAGATCTAGAAACCTGTCCTTTCTCTCAAACGTGTCAGGAATCCAAACGTGTCTACATAACGTCACTGAACACGAATCATACATAGGAACTTGGGGACAGGACCATTTTTTAGCCCTCCCCCTTTTTTTCCAAAATCCGTTATTTTTTTGTTTTCTATTAATTTCAATTATTTTTCGCGTTTTTCTGTATTATATGAACAAGTAGCTTGTATTTGCTATTTACTATCAATTCCAAGTTTACTATCCACAGTAGTCACTGATATACAGTTACTATATATAATCATGGAAGTATTCTATTGACAATACAATATTATACTTCCATGATTATATATAACAGTGACCGCTAATTAATAGAAAAAAATATAACGGATTTTGAAAGAAAAAAAAAAGGGAGGGCTGAACAAATGTTCTGTCCCCAAGTACCTATGGAACCATGTCTAGCTGGTGTAGAACGTAAATGCAATGAAATAATTGAATATTATTGCTGTGAATGAAGCTTCCTTTTGTTATATGCATGCACAAAATTGGCATCTTCTTTTATCCAGTATTTAATTTGTTCTGTTTTGATATTATTGCACTTTAAAAAATTATGCATACACAAGCCTATAGAAAGGTGTTGGTCGGAATCAAAAGTTTATTCATAACGTTTTATGAAATCAAAAGAAGCTGTATTTGCAAACTCTGCACTTTAATATTAAGGGCTTATTGTTCTTAAGAAATAAACAATGTCGTTATCAGACTATAACATCGTGTTTCAATTCATATTTTTCTTGAAGACTGAAATTTCTGTCAGAATCACTTTCATCCATCTCAACATATATGAAATTTCGCTAAAGCGATACATGTATGTTTTATTCACATCAAAGATTAATCCTAATTATGGGACTGGTCACTGGTTTTATTTATGTATATACGCAAACAGATATTACTACCATTTGTGGTGGGTTTATATACTTCAGCAACACCAAGATGACTAATATACTAGTGCTAATGATACAAGAAGACTGACACTATTAGTTGTAAAACATCAAACAAAGAATAATCATTTGATGTAAAAGTACATTTTTAAGTAATTATAGGATTTCTTTTCATTTACTTCAATGTAAAGTGAAATTCAAATTACTTAAAAAATGTGCACAGCTATAATTTCAAAATGATTATATCAATTACTACAGTTTTTATAAAAAATAATCATTGATATGTAGATTTAATACAACAAGCAACATGTATGATACTAGAATAAAAAAATAACTAAAAAAAGAATTGAAATTTATCAAAAATCGTAATGTAAAAGCATATATATAAATTTATATATATTCAAAAGTCAAATGTCAAATTTATAATTGTACAGTCCATTTTTACGCTAACTTGTAAGAAGTATATGACTTTGTGTTGGCTGTTGTCTAGTAAACTGAGTAGTCTGCAAACGAATGAAAGTACTAGAGAGAAAGAAAAAAACTGTAAGGAGTTTACTTATAAACAGCCTACACCTTTTTCCATACAGCTGAATCATCTGTAAGAAAGTTGATTTACAGGTATTCCAAAATCTTATCTTTATAAAAGTATATATATAAGCTATGAACCCTTATATTATGCTAAGTTGTTTTTTGAGAAATGCACGGTTTTTCGAAAATTACAAAAAATGCAAATTAAAAGCAAATGAGCTAATCCTTGCTGCTGAAAGACATTGTCAATTATATATTTTCTAAAGAGAAAACGTTGGGAGAAGAAATGCCTTGCTATAGTAGTTTACAAAAGGCCATATTGTCCTGAAGCCGGAAGCATCCATTATGTAGCCCCCAACGTCTGAAAACACTTACAGTAGACTTAATTCTGCATGTTTGGTACCTTTCGGGACATCTCAACCCTTTTACTTGCGTGTTTAAGTGCAAAAAGTTCAGCCAATGAGATAGATCGATAGCTTGAAGTTGTTACAGAAGTATTTTTTATGAAATGATAATGGAAAAAAACACTATTGAAACTGCCGCACGTCCTGGGAGGCTGAGATCCGAAAATGGCACCTTACCCGTCAAAAGACTTCTTGACATCAAAGTCACAGTGAGGCCTTCAACACGCAACACGATTCTCACCTTACTGCAAGTTAAAGACATTTTTTTGCAAAATAACGATTACGCCACACTATGAAAAGAAACATAAAGTTTGTAGAGTAATGTTGATAAATTAAATCTTGCAAAAAATCTAAGCATTTAATACATTGTGCTTTCAGTAATAGTTTTCTGCGACCTTTATACCGAAATGATTCCCACTGATCACTACACGTATTTCTCTTCCTTAGTGGAGAATCGGCTTATTCTAAACTTAAACCCACGACAAGCCTCACTTACTGAAGTCAAGCAAAATTTTACTGTAAGGTTTATTATGTCTTTATTTTTTGTAACACTGTTGCGACATCAGGTGAATTGATAGATGAAATTTTTGTAGAAATGAATTAGCAAATTCTAAGCCATGTCATGACGAGAACAAGTTATATTTAAAAAAAAATGAGATAAACATTGTTTAGTACTTGACCGACACACTCATGCAGTCCGTTTTTTTTTTTGTATCGTATTTGCACACTAAACAGTCTAAATAAAAACATGTCGTTGCACTCAACCACATAATACTGATTCTGAGCCAACAAATTTATTTTTGACTTCATAATACTGCGAAGAATCGACAGAATTAAAATTGAAAATCTTTGGTTTGCCCTGAATGTCTGCGTATTTGTGTATAACGGGGTGCAATGATGGGTGTACGATATGACATTAAATACCCTATACAACCAACCAAATTTTTCCCACGAAATGGGGGGGGGGGGCCTGGATCCGCTTATTGTATAAAACGGGTTATAAATTAAGTTTGATCTAAGATGTTAAGGTGTTTTTAGTTGTAAATAACGGGGTATGATGATGGATGTTAGATGTGGTGGTGTGATACTATGTATATAAAGGGGTACAATGATAGATGTTAGATGTGGCGGAGTGATACTCTGTATATAAATGGGTAGAATGATAGATGTCAGATGTGGCGGTATGAAACTCTGTATATAAATGGGTACAAGGATGGATGTAAGATGTGGCGGTGTGATACTCTGTATATAAAGGGGTACAAGGAGGGATGTTAGATGTGGCGGTGTGATACTCTGTATATAAAGGGGTACAAGGATGGATGTTAGATGTGGTGGTGTGATACTCTATATATAAAGGGGTACAAGGATAGATGTTAGATGTGGCGGTGTGATACTCTGTATATAAATGGATAAAGGATGGATGTAAGATGTCGCGGTGTGATACTCTGTATATAAAGGGGTGTAAGGATGAATGTAAGATGTGGCGGTGTGATACTCTGTATATAAAGGGGTACAAGGATGGATGTTAGATGTGGTGGTGTGATACTCTATATATAAAGGGGTACAAGGATAGATGTTAGATGTGGCGGTGTGATACTCTGTATATAAATGGGTAAAGGATGGATGTAAGATGTCGCGGTGTGATACTCTGTATATAAAGGGGTGTAAGGATGAATGTAAGATGTGGCGGTGTGATACTCTGTATATTAAGGGGTACAAGGATGGATGTTAGATGTGGTGGTGTGATACTCTGTATATAAAGGGGTACAAGGATAGATGTTAGATGTGGCGGAGTGATACTCTGTATATTAAGGGGTACAAGGATGGATGTTAGATGTAATGGTGTGATACTCTGTATATAAAGGGGTACAAGGATGGATGTTAGATGTAGCGGTATGATACTCTGTATATAAAGGGGTACAAGGATAGATGTTAGGTGTTGCGGAGTTATACTCTTAATATAAAGGGGTACAAGGATGGATGTTAGATGTGGCGGTATGATACACTGTATATAAAGGGGTACACGGATAGATGTTAGATGTGGCGGTATGATACTCTGTATATAAAAGGGTACAATGATGGATGTTAGATGTGTTGGAGTGATACTCTGTATATAAAGGGGTACGAGGATGGATGTTAGATGTGGCGGTGTGATACTCTGTATATAAAGGGGTACAAGGATGGATGTTAGATGTGGTGGTGTGATACTCTGTATATAAATGGGTAAAGGATGGATGTAAGATGTCGCGGTGTGATACTCTGTATATAAAGGGGTGTAAGGATGAATGTAAGATGTGGCGGTGTGATACTCTGTATATAAAGGGATACAAGGATGGATGTCAGATGTGGCGGTGTGATACTCTGTATATAAAGGGGTACAAGGATGGATGTTAGATGTGGCGGTGTGATACTCTGTATATAAAGGGGTACAAGGATGGATGTAAGATGTGGTGGTGTGATACTCTGTATATAAAGGGATACAAGGATGGATGTCAGATGTGGCGGCGTGATACTCTGTATATAAAGGGGTACAAGGATAGATGTTAGATGTGGTGATGTGATACTCTGTATATAAAGGGGTACAAGGATGGATGTTAGATGTGGCGGTATGATACTAGTACTCTGTATATAAAGGGGTACAAGGATAGATGTTAGGTGTGGCAGAGTAATACTCTTTATATAAAGGGGTACAAGGATGGATGTGAGATGTGGCGGTATGATACACTATATAAAGGGGTACAAGGATGGATGTCAGATGTGGCGGTGTGATACTCTGTATATAAAGGGGTACAAGGATGGATGTTAGATGTGGTGGTGTGATACTCTGTATATAAAGGGGTACAAGGATAGATGTTAGATGTGGCGGAGTGGTACTCTGTATATAAAGGGGTACAAGGATGGATGTTAGATGTAATGGTGTGATACTCTGTATATAAAGGGGTACAAGGATGGATGTTAGATGTAGCGGTATGATACTCTGTATATAAAGGGGTACAAGGATAGATGTTAGGTGTTGCGGAGTTATACTCTTTATATAAAGGGGTACAAGGATGGATGTTAGATGTGGCGGTATGATACACTGTATATAAAGGGGTACACGGATAGATGTTAGATGTGGCGGTATGATACTCTGTATATAAAAGGGTACAATGATGGATGTTAGATGTGTTGGAGTGATACTCTGTATATAAAGGGGTACGAGGATGGATGTTAGATGTGGTGGTGTGATACTCTGTATAAAAAGGGGTACAAGGATGGATGTAAGATGTGACGGTGTGATACTCTGTATATAAAGGGGTACAAGGATTGATGTTAGATGTGGTGGTGTGATGCTCTGTATATAAAGGGGTACAAGGATGGATGTTAAATGTGGCGGTATGATACTCTGTATATTAAGGGGTATACGGATGGATGTTAGATGTGGTGGTGTGATGCTCTGTATATAAAAGGGTGCAATGATGGATGTTAGATGCGGTACGTGGTGTGATGCTCTGTATATAAAGGGGTACAAGGATGGATGTTAGATGTGGTGGTGTGATGCTCTGTATATTAAAGGGGTACAAGGATGGATGTTAGATGTGGTGGTGTGATACTCTGTATATAAAGGGGTACAAGGATGGATTGAAGATGTGGCGGTGTGATACTCTGTATATAAAGGGGTACAAGAATTGATGTTATATGTGGCGGTGTTATACTCTGTATATAAAGGGGTACAAGGATGGATGTAAGATGTGGCGGTGTGATACTCTGTATATAAAGGGGTCCATGATATATGTTAGATGTGGCGGTGTAGTAAGTTGTATTTAACGGGGTACAATGACAAATATGATATGTGACAGTGACATAAGTTGTATATAACAGGGTACAATGATGGATGTAAGCTGTAACTGTGTAGTAATTTGTATATAACGTTGTACAATGACGAATATAAGATGTGACACTGCTGTAAGGGTACAATGATGGATGTAAGATGTGACGGTGTAGTAAGTTGTACAATGTATATAACGGTGTACAAGGATGGATGTAAGATGTGATGGTGTTATAAGTTGTATATAACTTATAACACCATCACATCTTGTACAAGGATGGATGTAAGATGTGACGGTGTGATAAGTTGTATATAACGGTGTACAAGGATGGATGTTAGATGTTACAGTGTTATAAGTTGTATATAATGGGATACAAGGATGGATGTAAGATGTGACGGTGTAATAAGTTGTATATAACAGGGTACAATGACAAATATAAGATGTGACACTGTTGTAAGGGTACAATCATGACAAATATAAGATTTGACACTGTTGTACGGGTATAATGTCATTTAGTCTCTTGTGGAGAGTTGTCTCATTGGCAATCATACCACATCTTCTTATTTTTATATTCATAGTAAATATTATTAAATAACTCTCTAATCTTGTTCGAATTTAAAACACATGACGTTGTATGTATGTACACATGCCTAGCGCAATGGCCAGTAACTCATTACGCTATGAACGCACATGCAAGCTCTTAATATATACGAGTACAGTCCTTAAATCTAAGTGAATCATGATATGGATGCTCGGGTTTGTATAGCTACGGTTTAAAGCAGAGAACATGTCTGGGTATGAAAAAGATCATTATAGGATTAAACTCTATTTTTCTATAGGTTATTGATGTGTAAACTTGGTCGATTAACTCACAAAATGAATTTTTAGTTTGTGAGTCATCGACACAGTTCACACATCAATAACCTCTAGAAAAAATGTGTTTAAGGGGGTACCCAACACTTTCACTAAAATAGATTTGGCTCGTTTAATTTTCATAAAATTTTGATAAAATAGTTACTTGGACCTGTTGATAGAAATGTAAAAATTTCAAGAAATTTGAACCAAACAGTTTACAGGAATAATTTCATTGGATTATAGTAGTTTGACAAACACTAACTTTGATCATTGAGAACTTTGCTAATAGTATATGATTAAAACGTTCAGCTGATTTTTAAAGAGTTAACTCCCATTAAGTGTTTGGTACCCCCTTAATCCTTATAATTCTAAATCGGAACTTTACGTATTATTTCTTTTGATTTTAACTTTCTTTACAAGGTATCGTTAGTAGTTTCATCAACATAGTTTATCGAAGTGTAACTTTAACGGACCAATCAAATTCAAGTATTTGTTGATAAGAAAATCATATAATAAGAATTAGCACACGTACAACCGAATTGTCATGATTCAATTAAAAAAAAACGTCGACCAAGGTCACAAACCGACGTTTTGCTAAATATGGTAAACATTAGTTATGTCTATATACAAATCTAAGAATCTTTTAAATATTTGTGTACAACAAACAACACATTAATGATTATGCTGTCTCATTATGTTATATGAATACGATGTAAGCTGTGGTATTATTTAGGACGAAGAATTCTGTATGAAACATATAAGACCATATAACCAATTACGTGAAGAGAATCCTTATTAACCTTATATGAAAACATATCTCCATTGCAAATGTATGTCATCTCATAACGTTATAGGAATGCATGTCTACTTATAATGTTATTCAACTTATATGAATACATGTCTACTTATAATGTCATTCAACTTATATGAATACATGGCTTAATTGTAAATGTATGTTAACTTATAACGTTACATGAATACATATCTACTCATAACGTTATATGAATACATGTCTACTCATAAAGTTATATGAATACATGTCTACTCATAATGTTATAGGAATACATGTCTACTCATAACGTTATATGAATACATGTCTGAATTGCAAATGTATATCAACTCATAACGTTATATGAATACATGTCTGCATGAATTGCAAGTGTATTGTCAACACATGACGGTATGAAAGTATAGGTTTGAAAAAATCTAAAAACAATACGAATTCATATCAACATTGCAATAGTCCACAACCCATAACGCCTATTCAACAACTAATTATGCTACTGCAAGTTGAAAGCATAATGCAAGTTGAAAATATAATGTGTTTGCTATACATTGGTGCTAAAGACAACATCGCAAAAGGTACACGCTTTTGTACAATTTTGTATTGAACGTCTCTAACAAGATAAATTCCATATAATTTTGGTTTTGTTAAGGATGATTATAAATATCTATGTCATTTTATAGTCCGTCAGTATATATGTTGACATTGACCGGTTTGGAGATATTTTGACAATGCTTGATACCTTTATCTTTAATATTCTAATGTAGTTCTCTTATACTTTAGCTTGTTTCGATCCTTTCAGCTGTTAAATAAAAAAACATTGTGCAAATGTCAGGGACGAATAAACTCATCATAGATATCAGGATTAAAATTGTGTACACTAGTTTCGTCTACAAAAGACTCATCAGTGACACTCAAATCAAAAAATTAAAAAGAAAATCATAATCATAATTATGCCAAACGAGAGATTTGTTTTTACCGAATGGGGAAGTACGCTTTATACCCCCTTGCAATTCGCCACTGGTTTTATTAAGTGTATTTTCAAGAGATAAGCTTGACATTTTGTTTTAAAAACATTTGTACTTTTACTTTCTTTCAAAGTCAAAGGCAAGGAATTCCACGACAAGGTTCCAGAATACATAAATGTGCTTTTACCATATTTAGTTTCATATCGTTGAACAAATATATTATTTTGGGAAGATGATCTTAATGGCTTTTTAGCGTATTTATTAACAACTGAACAACTTGAAAATAGTTCAGATAAATATTCAGGTGCTAGATTATTCATACACTTATAAACCATCACTATCATAAAATATTTAATTCTTTTATAAATGGTAAGCTATCCTAACGTTTTAAACATAACTGATGAAGAGATATCAAAACCTGCATTCAAAATAATCCTTGCTGTCCTCTTTTGTAACTTGTATAATTTGTCAATATTAGTTTTTGAAGCATTTCCCCACACGGTACATCAGTAGTCCATAATTGAAAGTATATATCCATTATAATATAGTTTGAGAAAACTTACTGAAAGATATGCTTTTAAGTTGGCCCATAAGTTGCAGTCTGCTTAGAATTACTGCACAAAGATTGTCAATTGGATTTTCCCACGAAAGAGATTTGTCAAAATGGATTCTTAGCAGTTTTTGATTATGAAAGACGTCTATTATATTTTCATCATCAAATTTGATACTTAATTCTGTTTCAAAAACATTTTGTCTATTAGAACGAATTAACATGACCTTAGTCTTGTCTCAATTCAATATCATATCATTATCATTACACCAATTCATAACATTACAAAAATCTACGTTCATAAATGCATTTAAATCTTTTACTGATGGAGATGACTTATATAATGTTATATCATCAGCATAAAGTTCAGAAGAAACATTTTCAAGCACAAGAGATAAATCATTGATAAATATTATAAAAAGTAAAGGTCCTAGTATGGAACCCTGTGGAACTCTTGACTGAACTTCTCTGAAATGAGATTCAATATCATTGATCATTACCTTTTGAAATCTTCCGGATAAATAGATTTAAACCAATCAATAGCATGATCATCACAGTGATACATTTGTAATTTGCTCAGTTAAATATAATGAGTAACGATATCAAATGCTTTTCTAAAGTCTAGAAAAAGAGCACAAGTTAAATTCCCTTATCCATTTCGCTTAACCATGCATCAATTAATTTAGGGAGGGCAGTGTTACATGAATGTCCAGATCTAAAGCCCGATTGCTGCCTTAAAAGAAGCTTTAACTTTACGAGATATGCATATATTATTTGCTTATATATCAATTTTTCAAACATTTTGGAAACGTTATTTTTGTCTGAGTGATTTAGATCTTCAAGTTATATTCGTGACTTGGTACAGGCATTTTCTTATGTAGAAAATGGTGGATAATCAGACTACTAAACCTGATTTTATAGCTACCTCTCACTTGTATGACAGATCCAGGGGGGGAGGGGGGGTCCGGGGGTTGGAACCCCCCCCCCCCTTTTTTTTTGACGATCAATGCATTTGAATGGGGACACATAGTTGGACCCCCCCCCTTTTATCCTGGATTAGGAACACCCCCCTCCCCCCTTTTATAAATTGCTGGATTCGCCCTTGATGTGTGAGCAAAACAAACACAATACACAATGTAATAGGTAGAAATGTCAAAAATTGGGGTACAGCAATCAACATTGTGTTTTTTTGTGAATTTTCATGTCATACATGCCATCAACACCATGCATTGGGGTATAACTGCATTTTATTTGAATAAACTTTATATATATATACATATACATTTAACGTATAAAGTATAGTATATACCATATTCTGTTTTAATATTAGAAATTCATGCGACTGTGGACTGACTTTGAACAAACGTTGAAGTCTCCCAGCGACTACCATAATTACACTTTAAAAAATCAACAGGCCGCTTTTCCGAAAGGAAGTAAAAAGTAAGCATGATAAGCATAATAATTCTTTTTGTTAAAACTTTATTTTTGTAAGTGAAACAGTAATGAGTTGTATTGCTAAATTTCATAAAATCTTATTCATGTACCTTTCTTTTCACGATCAATTACTCTTTGCACGATAAGGGGTCAACAGCTAATCATCGCTGGGGACGTCATCGCTGAGCACGTTAGTCCACGGAGAGGACGCTAAGGAGAGATAACTGTGTCTGTATTATATATTTGAGATGTGTCATAGTTATCTCGCTTTAGATAAGTTTTAGGTTGACTGCTTATAACAAGAGATTTTAACATGTTTGAAGTAACATGAGGTTTTATAACACTTTTTAAATAACTCTCTAAATAAAGTTTCCATGAGACAGCAACCAAAATGTAATCGAAAAAGATGTTATGTAATATTTAAAATTACAAAGAAAGAAAACAAATATATACTGTATTT